CACACACACACACACACACACACGCCACCCCTGAAAGCAGGAACTCTCTTTGCCCACCCTGAGACGGGTCAGTGCCCAATGAGAGATGGCCCTCTGTGGATCAGCCTGGACCCACTGAGGCACTCAAGTGAGGAAGTATCCCTTTTAAATTTTTATTTATTTATTATAGCTGAGGATGCTAAAGATGCAAGCGGCCCAGGTGCATGGAAACTGCTCAGTGGCGCCACCTGAAGGCACACATCATACCTGCCAAGCCATAGGGAGACCAGGCCCAGGCGGGGGCACTAAGCTTTTTAAAGAGACTCCCACCCAAATTTGAAAAGCAAGTATTATTATAATTGTGTTAATTAAGCTCTTTTTTTTTTTAAACAAAAAGGGGCCGCTACCTTCTGCTCTAACCCACCATCTGGAGTGCCTGCTTGGAGTTTTCAAAAGAGAAAAGTTCAGGCATGGGAGTAATCTCACCAACAGCTGAAACATGAGTAATATAGACATACAAACACACAGACGTATATATTTTTGTAGGAGTGTGTGTGGGTCCCCTCCCGGGGGTGGGGCCTCACCATTTGATGTCATCGTTGTGGCCCAGGTAGTGGCGCTGCCTCTGCTCCTCCACGCTGTACAACACTGCCACAGAGGCCACGAAGTAGACGATCTCACCGGTGGGCAGCAGGTAAAGGTTGCTTCGGCAGTCTCGGCCTCGGTACCCATAGCTGGAGTCACCCGGGGGCCTGGTTAAGGAGCCTGCTGGGCATTGCTGGGGGGGGAGGGGGGCCTTGGAGCGGATAAGCTATCTAACTCAAAACGTCACCAGAACGAGGTCTCCCCGGAGGGAGAGGGCGGCTGCCAGCACCTCGACTTCAGACTTCTAGCTCCCAAACCAGGAGGCCTGAGTGACAAATGGTTTGCTAACCTCAAGGTCAGCAGTTCAAAACCACCAGCCCCTTATCTGGAAAAAGATGAGGCTGGCTGCACCCGAACAGATTTTAGACGTCTCAGAAACCCAAAGGGGCAGTTCCACCCTGCCTCCAAATGGTGGCCAAGAGTCAGGACTGACTGGATAGGAATTGGTTATGATAGGCTCCCAATAGGAACCTGGTGACGCTGCCGGCAAGGATTAGGTTCTAACTCAGGAGCAACTTTGAGCAAGAAAAACCAGGCTTATCAGCTCCTGCAAAGATTTAGACTCAAAAACGCAATATCGAATGGCTCCGAGTCAGAACCCAACTCGGTGCCAGTGGGTTTGGTTGGGTTTTAGCTGATGTGCACCGGTCAGAGCGCTCAATGTTATCCAGTTACCATGACGCTTCGCATCACGTGGCTTCATCCGCACCGGCTGCGAGGATGCGCTCTTGTTTCTGTTGCTGCGCTGTTTCCACAGTCGCTGGGTTTGTCCGCTGTTCTGGCGGCAACTGGCAATTGTGCGACTCTCCCTAACTTCTTGAGAACCCAGGAGTCGTTAAAGCAAGCGTGACATCGAAACAGTCTGGTACTCAGTCCCTAATGATGTCACCAATAATGATGTGATCCCACGCAGAACGTGCTTAGGAAACAATTTTGTGAGTAGTCACATCATCAGAGGCAGACTACATGGAAGCAATTAACTCTGCCTGCATTATCACCCCAACACGCTGCACAAACAGCAGTGGATCTGCAGTTCAAGCCCACCAGCCGCCCCTCAGGAGCAAGATGAGGCTGTCTGCTCCTATAAAGATGAACAGTCTCAGAAATCCTCCACTGGACAATTCTTTGTCTCCTAGGGTCACTATGAGCCAGAATGGGCTACAGTGGGTGGGTCTTGTGGTCATTATGCACCCACCTCACTGGCCTGTCCATTCCACGAGGGCAGAGACCTTTGGTTTGTTCAGATCCCAGTATACAGCAGAGACTGACTTCAATATCTGTTGACGGCATGGCTGCCCCTCCCCTGCTCAGAATTTCCTTTGGCTCCCCACTGCTCCCAGGAAAAAGTCCAAGCTCCTCCCACTGACTTGAATGAGCCTGCCCCCTTCTGAGTCTTACCCAGCCAGGCTCCTGTCCTCTCTGGATCTCAGAG